CCTTCCACATAAGTGTCTGGTTGGGCAGAAGGGGGCAGTGGCTGCAATTCCTGATCATAAAATGTTCTGTCAGGGCAACCCCCACTTAGTGTCATTCCTTCCTTGCCACACTGAATCGCAAGCATGGCAGGCAAAGATGTGTGTTTGCTAACAGCCTTCTGTCCCCTTCTTCCAACAGTACTGCATAAAGAGATGAAAGGAGTGCCTGGTGCTGGCCTTACCCAGCATCTCCATTGAAGTCCTCGCATACTTGGTCCATGAGAAGCTAGGCTGATCCACTGAGGCCTTTCTGGTCCATAAATGAGAAGGCCAGTAGCCCAAAGTAACAACATCCGTGTAAATGGAAGGTACAGGTTCTGGCTGGGACCAAATTGTGCTGAACTGCTCAGAGCCCAGATGGTTGCAAGATCTCCCCTTTTTTTACCCTGTGGAAAGGTTACACAACACTCACCAGTTCTTCTGGCTACACGTAGACTCAACAGAGACACAAGGGTGAAAACTGATTTCAGGTCGGTATTAGCCCCTGTCCCCTCTTGAATCCTTCGGACTGCTTCAAAGAAGAAAGACTGCTTTTGGGACTTGCTAGCTGACAATGAGAATGCAGGTCTGCTGGAATAAACTCTGTCATTAAGGAGGCCAGGGTTAATTTAGAAGAGCTGTTTTCATTTGAACACTAGTGAGATAATGTGGCCTGCTCATCTTGTTTTATGAGCTTGAAATTGCTTGGGTATATACTGGATGTTACAGTCCCCGTGGCTAAGTTCAGGGACACCACCTCCTTAAGGGTATGTGTGCAGTCATGAAGCCAATGAAGGCAATGGTCTAGATTGGGTTGGAAGAATGGCCAAATCCTAGAAAAGTACTAGAAAACTGAAATGACTGTAGAGACCTGTACAACTGAAATAGAAAGGAATTGTCCTCTGAGCTCTTCTGTAGAATTGTGTTGCAAGGGCTTAATTTTCTCTGACCTTCTAAAGCTGTGTGCGCGCATGTATGCATTGCACTTACCACTTTTTCTGTTAAACTCTTTTGGACTATTGTTTATTTCTACAAGGGTTTGTGTTTCCAAAATGAGTTAAAATGAGCTTATAAATGTTGTATTACAGAGAACGTTAGCATTAGTAGAAGACTGCGTGGGGGATCAGAAGTTCAGTATAAAATAAACAATTTCCAAGCATCCAACTGATAATCTCTAGCACAAACAAGTACTTTTGTCTGTGTATCTCAAGGCTTCATTTCTATTTTTTGATGGAGAAAGAGGACACAGAAGCTGACTGACTTGCCTGTGGTCATCCAGAGTGTTGTGTAGCAGAACCAGGAACTCAAGCCAGAGCTCCACATGCCACCCTTAAATTCTCACATCAGCACTGCCCATTACTGCTATTTTGACATATTTAAGCTTAACTTAAATTCAAATACACATTGTCTTTTTGCTCAGCACCACTGCATGATCCTGATTTGGAAAGGACTTGGTGACTGTGTGCCTTCCACTGCCTGGGGCTTCAGCGTTTCTGAGAACAAAGTTAGTCAGTGCTGGTATGTGACAGTTTAAATAGTTGAAAATGCTCACTATATATGAACATCTTATGATCCCTGGTGAATGAGGAGATAGTGAAGCTCCCTGCTTCACACTGAAATTGATCTCCCTGTGCAAGCAACAAACAGTTTTCTACTGAACCCAACACAGGCTACTCAATCAGAAGCTCAGCTTGGCATCTGCTTTTATTTCCACATGCTGTGTCAACAGGAAGTGTGCTAGAGATGGCACATCAGAGGTCTGTGAAACAGAAACCTGCTGTGTAGCAGGAGAGTTGTAGAGTAATAAAATCTACCATAATGCTTTTTTGTGGAGGGAAATGTACACATGTTGTGCAGGGTAGGAAGTTAAAATGAATATCCCCAAATATGGTCAAGAGATTCTAAGGCTTTTTATAATGTTTCTGCTGGAGAATCCTCATGACTTTTTTCCCCCCTTTGTTGTAAGAAACAGCACTGCTGCAGAATACATTGTCACTTTTCAGTGTCAGCAAAATTTGCTAATTAGATGTGGGAGAGTCTCATCCTGAGGTTCCACATACAAAAGAATTTCTGGCTGCTTTAGATCAATTTGACCTGAAGTCTTACAGGGCAGTACTTGCTACCACAGGCATGACTACAACAAAAGCACTGATTGAGCAGTAAAAAACCTTTAGCCAGTTTGCACTAGAATAGCTCTCCACTGCTTAGAGCACTGGACTGGGATGCAGAATACTGTGCTTCCATTTGTACTGCTGGCCGCCTTAGGGCCACTTTTATTTCACCTTTTAATGGCTGTATTTTCCCTCCTGCCCTTCCCCTTTTCCGTATGGTTGTAAACCCGATTGGGCAGAGCCTCTCTCCTATTAGGTTTGTTCAGCAAAATGGAGTCCTAACCATGACTGGATGCTTGGCCTCTCAAATAATTCTGTCTTCCCTAACCAAGCGATGTCATTGGGGCATTTCATCCATGGCTGTAACTTTGCAAAGCTTCATCCCTCTTCATTCTAGGCTGTCTTTCCTGAGACTGTTAGACCACTTCTGAAAGAGTAACCAGACTAACACGTACACCAGGGGAGCCTATGCTGACCTTAGTGTGGTGGCAGTGCTACTTTACAGACTTCTGGGTGTTGCTTGAGGATTTACTGTAAAAGCAAGGGCTTCAATAAAATCCTTTGCTGCTTTTGTGCAAGTAGGGCCTGGCTCCCTCAACTGCAGAAACATGAATATACATAATCTTCACAAAAGCCCTGCAGCAGGTGTATGTCCTTTCCCTTAGAAGGAAACTTGGACTATGGGCTTGATAATGCCTACCTGTTCTCTTGCAGGGTATTACAGTGTGGTGAGGCTTACTCAATATCACTGTTGTTCAAATGAATCTGCCTGCATAGGTTTCTGAAGCTAGTAGGCTATACTTTGTGAGAGATGAGGGGCATTGGAGCTTTTAGTTCATTCTGTCTCTGGTTGTAGAGGACTCCCCTCCATGTTTTGTATGTAGTGCTTATTGCTGTTCAGATGCTTCCCACTCGCTTGGACCTTTGCTGACCCACTGGATAAGATATTTTATAAATTGCCTTATGTTCTGAAAGCAGCTTCCCTACTTATGAATGTAGCTACATTTTGCTCATCAAGACATGGTGCAGAGTTGAAATTGCTTTTCCCTGTTTGGAAAAATGTTGCCAATACTAATGCTGTTTAAGGTCACAATGGGAGAGTTCCTAGCAAGGGATGCGTTAATGCTGCTTTTGAACCCAAAAGAGCCCACTGCTTTGCATCTGTTGTGCGAGACATGTAGACATTTAAACTTTTTAAGAGTAGACAGAGACAGGTTCTGAGTGGATGGAGACAGAACCTAAAGCGTAGTTGAGGTTGGGAAGAGTATAACTTTCTGATGAACTAATTCAAATAGAGGTCATTTGCTATTGTGTCTGCACCCACTCACTTCTGAAGGGCAGATCAAGGTAAGGGTAGAAATCGATGAACAAGGAATTGGAAAATAATGATGAGGATTTGGACATGTAAAGCAATGTGTAAAGTGATTTATGAAAACTAGAAGGTGACCGTGCATTTCGTGGGCTTGGCACAGACTAAATTGACCTAGTGTTGCTTTGCTGGGATTATGAAAGGTAGGTTGTTACTTTTTCTGTTTCTTACATGCTGCATCCTTCACTGCTTTTGCTGCCTGTGCCAGTTGGAATAAAGCTAGCATAGCTAGCAGTTTGTGCCCTGGATTACCATGAAATCACAACTTTAATCTGGTACTGCCTAATGGAGCTGGAAGCTGGTGAAGGATGTTAGCAGCCCTCCTTTGTGCAGTGTCGCGTGCTGTGTTACTTATTCTGATGTGATGAGACTTGTGCATCTTTGCTGTATGCAGTCATACATAGAAAACAAAAGGAATCAATTGCCTCTGTGATTTTATGGCTTGGGTATATTTTAAATTCTAGTTTAAATTGAAAAAAATATTCATTCTCTTTTTGCTGTAGCTCAAAAGGAGAGCGTTCTTAATTTAACATTAAGAAATTAGATGCATTTTTATTATAGATCTTAGATTGGATTCTGCAGTGTGTGATGGCTCTAGTTGCCGTAGGACGCAGGGTCAGGTGTCAGTGGCCCCAGCAGTACTGGGGTACCTACAGTCCATTAGGAAAGTGTTACTTTTTCAATAGCGACAATCTTTGTTAAATGTGTAGCCCAGTTTGTAGTGGTGTTATATTTAATGCTGTCTGATAGAAATGCCTGTCTGCATTCTTTTCTACCTCAAATGCAGTCTCTCACTAGCTGACCGACTTGGAGACAGAGTGTTTGTGAAGTCTTTCTGTTTTTGTGGTGCCTGATATAAGTTAATTGTGTAGCTGTCTATAGGTAATGCAATATCAAGACACACTTCTGTGTGATTGCCACTAGCAGTGTAACATAGTGGGTGCGTCTACACAAGACGCTACTGCACAATAGCATTGGCGGGCACTAACCGTGATGTGATGCTACTGTGTAGTCCGTTGCTCATGTAGACGGGGCCAGCATCTAGCTCTGTCCATGCCAGTACAATAACTAGTTTTGATAGGGTATTCAAATAATGCCTGGCTTTGAAGCACCTTAAAAAATCAGACACAATGCTGTAAATTTTAACACTCTCTGCAGTTGTCCGAAGAAAATGTGAAATATTTTTTTGGCAGAAAAGACTGACTTAAGATAATATATTGCGTGGTGTTAACAATCACATTTAAAATGCATTTAGCCTTAAAAACTAAATTGGAAGGAAGGAAAGAACGAAGAAGCTGAAGTAGGGTACCCCAGGTGAGAAACGAGGCTCTTTTGAATATTTATTACCGTAAGAGCAGTCAGTAGGTTATCAGCTAGAGCCAGATGCCCTGACATTCATTCAGGGGAAAGAGAAGATTATTCATGAGTGCTTGATGGAGCTACAATAATTCTGCTGAATATTAATGTTTTTCTTTTTCTTTTTTTTCTTTTCTTTTTTTTAGGCATATACACTCCAGAGCCACTTTCCAATTTCTGGTGGGCTCTCTTGTCTACTGGGCTTATGTTTGTGTATCATTTTAGCATTTTACAGATCCTGGGACTGGTAAGTAAATGTGTATTTAATTGTACCCATGTATTACTCGTAATATAAAGATGCTGGCTTTTCATAGTGTTTAGGTGTAAATGGATGTCTAATTTGCATGGACAATTAATGCTGTTATGTGCACAAATTAGTAATTGCACATGCTAATGAGGTTATTTGCATATCAGTCACTGTATTTGCACAATCATAGTAACTTTATATAAATTGGGCATGAGTGCTTTGAATTCAAGCCTTGCCTAAATGCTGAAAATTTGGCATATTTGTGTTGAACATTTGGTAACAGGTTTATCTCCTTTGTTTGCTGGGGGAGTTGAACAATGCTCTCTTTATTTGTCTGCCTCAGTGGAACACAAAATAATGCTGCTTTTTAAATTTGTCCATTTTCCTAGGTCACAGAAGTGAACTTGAACAACATGCTATGTCCAGCCATCTCTGATCCTTTCTATGGGCCTTGGTATCGAATCTGGGCATCTGGACATCAGACTATCATGACTATGGCTCATGGGAAGCTTGTCATCTTGTTGTTCCACAGTGCTGTCCCCATCTTTAAATATAGTGTGGATTTGCTTAGACTCCCAGCTAAGAAAATAGACTGACATTTCTCTCTGGAGAGTAGCACATACAGGAAGGCGAGATCTACATTCTTACTGGAAAAGAAAGAGGAAAATGAAAGGACAGTGTGTTTAAATATCCCCTTGTCCCCATACAGTTTTTTTCCTTGTAGAGATCTCTATAATAGTGTGAAGGTTTTCTTGCAGCAGCTCTGTTTCACTGCCTGTAGCCAATGGCAAAATTAGTGGCCTTATTCTGGAAGAGGTCAGTATTTTTCTTACACACTTTTTGCAGGTGACAATGGAACCTCACTATTCCCTGCTTCGCAATGCCCCAAACGGGCAAATCTGTCCATCTTCCAATACAGAGAGTGGTACTGCTACCTCGTTAAAGATGTTGCCATTTTTACTAAATATCCTTCAGTATTTGTATTGATCACCTGAAGAAACAAAGCTAAATTACAGTTGAACTGAAACAAACATGGATTGTTTCAAACTCATCATCCTGGCTTACATTTTGTTTGTATTTTGGAAGTTGGCTCTTTCTTGAAGCAACATATTGAAGCCTAGTCAAAAGGGTGACTTAGTGAGGTTCTATTGTGTTTGTTTAGGCTGGTTGAAGAATGGGGAACAATAAGAATAACTAGTTCCTTTTTTTTTTTTTAATTGGACTACTTGATTCTCAGCTACCCTGGGGTGGTGCTTGGCTGTTCATCGCATCTAACAGCTATGGTGATGCTTTGATTAGTATGAATGAAAAAGCTCAAGGGGAAATGATTTCAAAAAATAAAGTAGGGTGTAAGCTGTTGGGGGACTCCGTATTTTCAGGTGCCTGTGAACAGAATGCATTAGGCATTCAAGGGACACTGTCAGCTGAAACAGCTTAGATGGAGAGAGAAATTACAAAACTTCACTTAGAGAATCTGAAATTTTACTTTAGATTTTTAGTTTTGAATGTTTCCTTCCCTGTGCCTGTATTAACAAGCATTGTACTAGGCTGTGAGGAAACGACGTAAAACTATTCTGTACTTGCTAATAGCCTACATACTTCTTATGCAAAGATGCAAGCTAAATTGGTGTACAGGGTTTGACCAAATCACTCCAGCTCCCTAGTGTAGATAGTTTTACCTGTATGAAGGTGTTTATACCAGTCTTTCAGTTATAGTAACTGTGCTAACATGTTGCATTGCTTTTTTTTTTTTAAACTAAATGTGCTTGTTTGCTTGCACAGTTTTTAAACTAGAGGCTACAACCAGGAACAATATAACCAGTGTAAGAAGTAAAACGTGCGTCTCACTCCTAAAAGTGCAGCAATAAGAAGCTGCACAAATGAGTTGGAAAGTGGTAAATCTTGACAAGAGTTCCCGTAATTTTTGAAGTCTCAGGTTGTCCCTGCAGGCTGTTTTCTCAGTGTTGTCACAGGACTATAGCAGAAAGCTATCCTTTTTTTTTTTGATTCTTTGTGTTGCATTGCCATAGCTGTGACTGTGCAAGATGCCACCATACCTCTTCCTTCAACTGAGTTGCTCTGCAGGCATGTTCAGAAGTTAAGGTACAGCCATGTTATACCTCAAGAAGTAAGAGTTACAGACTTACTCTGATTTTTACAAGGGCAGGTAGAGGGAAGGGTGGACAGTAGACTTCAAATTTTTTACTCCACTTGATTAAAAAGTGAGTTTTGCAGCTGACTTTAGCAGTGTCTGCCCACCTGTATTGTGATCTCAAAGCCCTTTTCTGGATTCCCTCTGTGCCTGGCTTTGTGTGCATTATATACATGGTGAAGACCCTCTACTACCACAACTTGATAAAAAGGAGATTTATGTTGGCTGTCCAACCACAATTGTGCAGCTAAGTTTCTATTACCCTGACCTGCAAAATGCACATTCCAACTCCTTCTCTTCAGTAGGGAAAGCTGAGCCCTGGGTAGTGGCAAGGGGGTGCTGCTTCAGTGTGCCTGGCACTGCAGACACTTAAGTCTATGCTTAATTTGACTCTGAGTAGTCTCACTGTTAGTCATACAAAGATAGGCATGTGCTTCTTGTTTGCAGCAATGGGTTATTCAGAGAGATGGGACAGCAGCAGTATTTCAAAGCCCAAATCCTTCAGCTGAAGAGCACTTAACTCCCACTGAAGATTTTGCCATTTCCTTGAGCAGGAGGGCAAGTTCCATCCAGGCTGCTCCTCAGGTTGCAGGCTCCTACAGTAGTGTTGGGGGTTCAGTAGTGCCCCTTACTTGAATAAGCTTGATCTCCTAGGATCCTCTGGGTGAAAGCATACAAAACTGCCTCCCATCCCTCAGCTATTAAGGTTATCTTGGCTTATTTATCTACCTAGCAGTCCATTGAGAGAGACCTTGGGCCAGAATCAGCCTGTTATAACTACAGTGAAGTGTGTTTAGAGCCTCATGAGGGATGAATTTGACCTGTCTCTTGAAATCATTTGTTTTTTGATTATCTTACCTTGCACCTTCCGAACCCATTTTTACCAAAAAATATATATATTGCAGCTACTTTTAACAGGCAAACTCAGACCAGCAGCAGTCTCCACATTTTTTACTACAGCATTATCTACCTGCCAACATGAGCCTCAGGGTGTGCTAGATAAGCACAGCAGCAGATGCCCGATGCTGATGCCTATGGTCAAATAAAGCGGCTGCTAGAAGTTTTCAGCTGCACAGCTCAGGTAGCCCAACCACAAGACAGGTCAGAGTGCAGAATTTCTAGCTCTTTTGGCAAACTGAACAATTCAGGAGCAGGCCTGGCAGCTTGGAGTTTGTTCCTTTGAAACTGAGAAACACTCAAGTGCGTTGGCACCTGCCCCCAGTAGGCTGCTCAGGCCAGTTTCTGAAAGGGAGGAGACTGCACTGGGGGAACACAGGCCTCTCATTTGTTTGGTGCTGGTGTGGAAGGGGGGTTGCTTTCCTCCCTAGCAGTCTGGCTGTCTGAGTGAGATAACTTTGCCTTCATTAGCTTGCATATGCCAAGTCACTCACAGGGTCCAGGAAAAATCAGTTTTAGAACTGAGTGCCAGCAGACTGCACATGCCGAAAAGTGCATTCCAGTGCCCAGATCTTCACTAGCAGGAAGATCATTCCTGATTTTTCTTTAACATGACAGGAGTCAGAACGGTGTGGTAGAGTTAAAGCACCATGGCGTGGAGGGAGCCAGAACAGCTGCAAGCAACTGTGCTGGTCTGTGCCAATGGAAGAGAGATCCCAAACTAAGCCTCACTTTACTTAGTATTCTTACTTTAAGGGTGTTGCGTTCTTCAGTGGTAAAGTCACGTGTGTACAGTGAGGGCTCTCTGCTGAACGCTCTGCTAAACTACATCTCAAAAAACTAGCGCAGTTGAGTTGAATTCATTCCAAGGGACCTGGCGATCTTTCCAAGGCAGCATTCTCCAGTGGTTAGGTGCGCCATTCCAAGCACACCAGACTCTGCCCTTTTCTCTCTTCTATTCTACAGAAGCCATTAGTAGTTGTAAAAATCACAAAGGGAATAGCGTAACGCTTCTGCAGCATCATAATGGCTGGCAGTAGCTGTGGACATTAAGGTTTGGGTGCCAACGCTTCCAGCTGTGCAGAGGATGTTGACTGCTGTGTTTTTCCAAAGGTTTAGACACACCTGTGGGTGTGGTGTTTGAGCCATGAATCCATTTCTTGACTTTATTCCATGCAACTGTATTGGAATTTCTTCCATGTAACCAAAGAGGAATTTGCATCTTGTTTCTCTTTCTTAGGCTGAAGATCTAACAGTATGTAGTCATGCTTAAAAATGTACATACATCTCAATGGATGGAAGGCCATTGCCCCTGAACACACTTCTAGCTAGGTTTTGGCTTGACTTCTTTTAGTGCTTGAGAAATGCTCGTTGGCCAAGGCCATTTTGCTGTTAAGCAGATGCCACCTTGCTGAAGCTGAGACATGAGCAGTTGGTTCATTTGTGCACTTTAAGGTTTTAGAGTACCTCATTGTAGTCGTATTACTCCTCTGTCTGTGGCCTCAATCAGGGTTTTGATATTTCTGTATATTTGATAACTGAATGTTTTGTAAATCCTATCAGTGTTTCTCTTTCAGAAACAGCTATTTGCAACTGTTGAAGTACTTGATTTTTATGTCCCCAGTCTTGTCTGAAACCACAGGCATTAGTTTCCTGTACATTTGTAGCTACATGGAAGTCAGATGTACAGTTTTTTGCTGTTGCAGTTGTTTCCAGTTGCATTTGTTGTGTTGCTAGAGGTGAGCTTTTCACAAATAGTGGGGTTTTGGTTTGTTGTTGTTTTTTTAGGTGGGTGACAAAAGAATTGTATACAAAGTAAAGAAGTGACCTTTGAAAAGTGTCATCATTTTAGTAGTGTCTGATATTAGCCCCTATGTGGAAGGTAGGTTCATTAAGGCAGAGAAGACTACTTTGTTTTGTGTTTTTGCTCTCATTACAGTGATAAGATGCATAATAAATATCAATTATTTTGTGAGCTTGTACTCAAGGTGATATTGCTGTACATCTGTTTTGCTACTTCAAGTGTCATTTAGTTAAAGCCAAGCTGTTTATAAAATGTTTTTTTTTCTTCAGGGTCAATTTTGTACTTTTTTTTTTATTTCTGCATTTACTGAGTCATTATCTCAATGCTGCAGAGAACACAGCAGGCAGAGCAGTGAGCACACCCACAGTGTTATCAACAGCCCGCTGTGCCAGGGAGCTGGAATCGCTGCATGCACTGAGCTGAGGCACACAGCTGTCTTTGGAAATCAGTGGTTCCAGTTGCCCAGCCCTCTGTCCAAGCACCGCATTATCTGGGTGCAGAGTGGAGTGGTGGCAGCAGGAATTGATGTGGGGGGTGGGGTTTGCTGCCGTATCTGCTGCTAGTTCTGAGTAATTTGTAAGTGTGACCTAAATTTTGTAAACTTTTTAATGTGCTAAAAACTTGGTGATAATTGCTAAGAAGGGGTAATTTGTGTACCTGTACTCCTTGTTGGTCCCTA